TCGGAACCCAGTCTTCAAGGTTGGGTACCGCGTGAGGTATCTAGGCAAGCACTGCATAACAGATAAGAGTGTTACACAAAGCTAAAAATAAAGTACGAATATTAATGGCTAATAATTACGATCGGTGTTCCATTTCTCGAGGAACGGTAGTTTCTCCTCGGGGATGAGGTCGCAGGTCCTTACTCGCACAAACTAGCTCATGCAACCTTGATCCTTGTCCTCATCGATGCTTGCATAAAAGGAATTTGATGATCAACGTTGAAGCTTGATTAATCCTGGATAAAGCTTTGGTCGATACAGCCGTATAAGGTGGCTGAGAGTGAATTCCAACCCATTGGCCTTACCAGAGAAGAAGCGAAGCATAATCACTATGCGGCATGAGGGATGCACCTGGCCTAGGGTAACATGGTACATCTTACAAAAATCAATGATAAATGGGTCAAGAGGACCCAATGTGGAGGGGTAATTGTAAACACTTAGAAACCCCTCCACATGAGTGGTGATACTTTCTTTGGGGGCGGGGATCTGTACCACGACCTCGGGCCTCCAATTACAGTCTTCCTTCACGACGTCGAGTTGTTTTGCTGTTATTGAGCAAATAGACCTCAATACGTGTTGATATTGGCCAGGGACCGATGGAGGGTTTTCGACTTTGAAGTCGTTTTTTAGGACATAAGGGCGGGAACAATCTCGTGAAGGAACTGTTCCACCGACATTTTGTCATCGGCCGGTCGGGAAGAAGACGAAGAGGCTTTCTCCTTTTGAGGGACGATTTTGGAAGCTTTCGCCATTGATTCAGATGAGATGGAGCGGAAAGAAGTGGAGTTTGGTATTTTTGGTCCTAATAGATCGAGTCAACGGGTGGTGGCAGAGAAGAGATAGAGAGAGGAAAAGACTTAGAGAAATTGGTGAAGAAGAAAGTAAAGTTTTGATTAAAATGGGAAACCTGTATTTATAGATTCACGGCGACGATTCAGTGGCGCTAGTGGCCGACCGTCACTGGCAAGCATTTAATGTTTTGGGGAAATGAATCGATGACGTTTCGGTCACTTCGAGCGCTTACATCATGGGGATGACATCATTATCGGGGTCTACAGAAAATCGAGGCTCAAATCATTTCTTATTATTTTATTCTAAGAAACGAGGAGACTATCTGTATACGGAATGTTGCATTCATGGTTGGAGAGAGAGTGTTGCTCTGTGTTTCACCCTTGAAGGGCGTGATGAGTTTCGATAAGAAAGGCAAGTTGAGCCCTAGGTATATCGTATCATTTGAGATTCTTGAGAGAGTGGGTGAGGCGGCCTACAAGATCGCATTGCCACCTAGTTTATCAGGTGTCCATCCGGTGTTCCATGTGTTTATGCTCCGAAAATATCACGGTTATTCGTCCCATGTGCTAGATTTCAGCTCAGTCCAATTGGACAAGGATTTGACTTATGAGGAGGATCCGGTGGTTATTATAGCTCGGTAGGTTCGACAGTTGAGATCAAATAGTTATCCTTCAGTTCGAGTGCAGTAGAGAGGTCAGCCAGTCGAGGCAGTATTACTGGTGGAGGAGGATGAAGAAGGATATAGTTGCATATGTAGCTCGGTGTCTAAATTGTCAGCAAGTAAAGTACGAGCATCAGAGACCTGGTGGCAAGATTCAGAAGTTAGAGATTCTTGATTGAAACTGGGGCGTATCACTATGGATTTTGTTGTTGGACTCCCACAAACTCAGAGTAAGTTCGACGCGGTATGGGTCATTATGGACCGGTTGACCAATTCAGCACATTTCATTCCTGTGGAAATTACCTATTCTTCAGAGCGGTTGGCTGAGATCTACATCCGTGAGATCGTCCGCCTTCACGTTGTGCAGGTGTCTATCATTTTTGATCGAGGTACGCAGTTCACCTCACACTTATGGAGGGCACTACAGCGTGCGTTGGGCACGCAAGTTAAGTTAAGCACAGCATTTCGTCCTCAGTCGGACGGATGGTCCAACGCATGATTTAGATATTGGAGGACATGCGTCGCGCGTGTGTTATGGATTTCGGGGGTTCTTGGGACCAGTTCTTTCCACTTGTGGAGTTTTCTTATAACAATAGCTACTAGTCGAGCATTCAGATGGCCCCCTATGAGGCATTATGTGGGAGGCGGTGTGGTTCACCAGTTGGATGGTTCGAGCCGCGGGAAGCTCGATTGTTGGGTACAGATTTGGTACAGGATGCCTTGTACAAGGTCAAGATTATTTAGGATTGACTACGCACAGCTCAGTCTAGGCAAAAGAGCTCGTTTTGCATGCGTAGTCCGTGCCTTTTTCCGGAAGGCTTTTATGTGAAAAATTGATTCAAATGTGAAATCATGCTTTAAAAACTCATTTGAGTTGACTTCAGACATTATTTACCCGATTTCGCCCCTCGATAGAAAAAGTGATACCACGTCGGAAGGCCAGGATGTCGAGCTCGGGGTCGAAGCTCCTTTCTCGGGTCGAGGTCGATAACACTTGCCAAGATCGAAAGAAGGCATGCTTTGAGATGGCGCCAGTATGATTCAGTAACAGAAAGAGCGAGATACCCACAACGGGCCGGAGACCACAGTGTCAATTTTGGAATGGATTGTCTTCAGCAATTAAACAGTTGTCAAATATGAATTCCTACTATAATTAGAAGTGTACCTTATTTAGGACTCCCCTATTATAAAAAGAGGGATCCCATTCATTTGTAAGAGACATTACTCTCTGATAAGAAAATAGATACACGTTACTCTCTTGCTATTTCACTTACTGTTCATCAGAGTTGTTTTATCATTTGTTATTCTCATTATCGTACCTCGAGATTATCACATTCGAGGTCGAGATTTAGTTTACACACTGGTTTGATCTATTTTTCTTTAATTTATCTATTTAATTTCTTGTTAATCAATTGGCATTGAATTAGATCACATATCTTTAAAATCGCAATACAAGTTTAATTGTTACTCGAATTTTAGGGTAAACACCCAATTATGTTGGTCGTTGGACAAACTATCAAATATAAATTTAAATGCTGCAGAAAAGGCCAGTCTTGATCATTTTTCCAAAATTAGTTTTGCATTTGGTTAGTTCATAAAGGGCCCTTACTTGTGCACGTCTCTGCAGTTATATTGTGTTTAAAAGTGTACTTAACAAAGATGTTTACATGCTACCCGAAAGGTACCTTTGTTTTTCTGTTATGTCCCAATTTTGTTTCTCAGTAATTGAGATGTGGGGACTCTGGTGCTTATCCTGTCTCGGAATCTCCTGCCCCTACTCTTTTACCAGAAATTAGCTAGCGTTTGTGTATGAGGTAAGATGTGAGTCAGCAAGTAGTTGGTACCGAATACAAGCAAGAGATCAGTGCTGAGTGAATTTCGAGGGCATTACAGCCGAGAGCAAAGATTTGAAAGGAAGATGTCGATTGGGAAAGACAACATTCAATGAGCAGCCGCTGCAAAAACTCTCTATATTTATAGCCAACCATTATGAAGCCTTCAATGGCGGTTTAATTCTCATTCAAGAGGAGCCCTGTTTGGGGATCATGTCTCCCTCAATGGATCTATAAATAGGAGATTTCGTATCCATTGTAGGCAAGAAAGAATCATTTGTATTAAAAGGCTATACTTTCTCATACTATAAAATTTCTCACTTATTCTTGTTCTTAACATTATTCGTATTATTGCTTTCGGATAAACGTTTCATAAAACCATGCTTGTATTTCTTTAAGTTATTTTTATATTCTTGACTTCATTCTTATTCTTTTTATATTTTCGGATCAAATTAATTCGCGTGTCTATTAACCACATTACTAATTCAACTATAGTATTTACAGGTAAATAGTTTGGCGCCCACTGTGGGGCATAGACAATTGTGTAATTGCTTTGATCCTTTCATCCATTACTAACAAATTTTGATTCATTTTTTAGCAAAAAAAATTCAGATATGGCAGCTAACGATGTGAACAATGCTCACAATGTTGAGACACACAACGAGCGAGATGATGTATTCCAGCGGGAAGTTTCAACATGTGAAACTCGCAGTGAAGGACATGAAGCAACTCTTAGTTTGCGAAGGTCATATTCCTCGACATATGAGAAGTCCAACTCCTGATGACGGATGATGAACACGTTATAACGGTCAAAATCTTGAGAGAGCAACAAAGGGCAATTATGGATCACCTCTCAAGACAAGACCACGTGACGACATAATTGAAGCAAGCGCTCTTGGTTGCATCCAATAATCTCAATGGAGGAGTTCGAATTCCTCACTGCAGGCTTGAAAATCAAACAGTGCAAAGAACTGATAACGTTGCTCCGAGGGTGGGGTTCAGTTTTAATGAGAGTAAAGCTTGTGGTACCGGTAGCGGATCCGAGAATAAAAACAATGCTGATGACCCTTTCAAAATCGAGCTCATGATATTCAAGAGGGAAATAAATGAACGAATGGACCAAAATGCTACAGAATTTCATGCTCGGATGAATCAGATCCTGGGAGCACCACCGGTGTTAAAAGGACCAGACTCAAACAAATATACGCAGGTGCCATTCAAACCAAGTGCTAGAGTTGATCCCAAAAAGATTCAAGATTCCAGATATTCTAAAGTATGATGGGACTTTGGATCCACAGGACCATATCAAAATTTATACTACGACAATAATGGGAATATACTTGGCCCCTCCCGACAAGAAATTTGGCGAAAGCCTAACGAAAGGTGCTTTAACATGGTATTCTCATTTGACTGAGTATTTCATTGACTCTTTTGAAATCGTTGCAGATTTTTTCATTAAATCTCATGCTGGAGCAAGAAAAGTCCAATCAAGAAAGACAGATATATTCAGAATCACTCAAGGAGTTTCGTGATCCTATTTCAGACTGAAATGATATTGTTTCTAGCAGTACCAGATGAGTGGGCAGTGGAAGCATTTACAACAGGTCTCAGAGCTTCGATGCCTCTAAGAAGCTGAACGAAAGCTTGTTAGAATTCAGGAAACTACATGGGCAGAGATGTCTACAATTGAGTCAAAGATTAGAATAGAAGATGATCAACTAAGTTCCTCGATGTCTTCCAAAGGACGCAATGAGGATCGGAATCAGGAATGGTTTAATGCTGATGTTGATACAAATCGGTGATCTTCCAGAGGTCTTTTTCAGCCTTAAGAAATGGTCAATGGGCGAGGAAATAAAGGTTTTCAGTCATCAGATAAGTTTGCTTCTGACAGAATAATGGATCGTGGTCGGAGCAGCAGAACTTTATAGGAATAAGAAGCATCGAGGTCCCGAGATTCAACGTATCCCCGATTATCCGACTACAACTTTAACATCAGCCTAGTAGAATTGGAGTCGGTTATGAGAAAAATAAAGGACGCTTGGTTCCCAAAACAAATTTGATCGGATCCTTGCCAAATAGATCCCAATCTATGGTGTGAGTTGCATGGAACACATGGTCACAGGACTGGGTACTGTCGGCACCTTCGTGAAGAGGTGGCAACATTGGTGAAGAATGGTCACCTTAGAGAGATTTTAAGTGATCGGGCCAAGAATAACTATGGAAAAAATCTAGATGTTGCAGAACCATCAAATCTAGATGCGGAGTCACCTCGTATGACGATGCACATGATATTTGGTGGAGATGAAGTAAATAGGGTGATATTTTCAACAACAATGAAGACGAAAATATCGATAACTCATGGCAATAGGATCCGAGAAGTTTTAGAAGATGACATCACCCTTATAGAAGAGGATGATGACAGACTTCTTCTACCGCACAATGATGATCTAGTAAATTCTTTTAATGTTTTAGATTTCAAAATTAAACGTGTATTGGTTGATCCAGGAAGTTCAACCAACATCATACAATGGAGAGTTTTGGAGCAAGCCAATTTAACTGGAAACATAGTTCCGGCAACAAAGCTTTTATCTTGGTTCAACTTAACAAGCGTTACGACTCGAGGAGAGATATTGCTGCCCACGCATGCTGAAGGCGTACAGGAAACCACTATGTTCGAAGTGGTAGATGGTTACATGGGATATAACGTGATCCTTGGAAGGCTTTGGATACATGAAATAAATGCCGTACCGCCAACATATCATTGATTGTTGAAATTTCCCACGCCGGAAGGGATCAGGCAGATCAGAGGAGATCAACCAACTGCAAGAGAGATGAACGCAGTTACCTTATCCGGTAGCAAGGGAAAAGAGATAAGAAAATAGCAATTACAGGAATTTGTACCATCTTACCCCTATTGAAGATAATGGAGAAGAGGAGTCATCAGAATTGTATCAGGTACCGAGATCTTTTCAAGTATCGAGAGAAACAGATTCAACCAAATCAACCACAGAAGAGCTCGAACAAGTGTCCTTGTTCATGGAGTTGTTAGAAAGGAAATTCCTCTGAGGGACAGGTTGAATCCCGAACTAAGATGAAAAAGTATTTATTTTCTTAAAGATAACATTGATTGTTTTACACGGTGACACTCAAATATGATAGGAATTTCACTAGAGATGGTTGTCCACAAGCCGAGTTTGGATCCCAACTTCCCTTCGGTAAGGCAGAATAAATGACCGATAGCATAGGTTAGAAACATGTTTGTAAAAGAAGAGGTAACCTGGTTGCTAAATATAGGTTCTATATGAGAGGTAAATTATCCCGATTGGCTAGCTAATGTACTAGTAGTACCTAAGAAGAATAATAAATTTAGAATGTGCGTAGATTATAAGATTTAAATAGGGCATGCCCTAAGGAGTCTTTCCCATTTTCAAACATTGATCAAAGATTGATTCTACGGTCGGGCATGAGTTAATGAGTTTTTGCATATTCCCGGTATAATCAAATTAGTATGAACCTGAAAGATCAAGAAAAGACCTCATTTATCATAATTTTTGGCATATATTGCTATAATGTGATGCCGTTTGGGCATAAGAATGCTGAAGCCCTTACCAGAGGTTTGTGAAATAAGATGTTTGAACAACAAATTGGTAACACAATGGAGGTTTATATTGACGACATGTTGGTTAAGTCTCTTAATACAGCCATACAGGAGATCATTTGAATCATCTCCAAGAAACATTTGATATTCCAAGAAAGTACAACATGAAGCTCAACCTGGAGAAATGTGCATTCGGAGTTGGTTACAGTAAGTTCCTGGGGTTTCTGGTTTCTCAAAGAGGTATTGAAGTAAACCTCGATAAGATAAAAGCCATTGAGGATATCCTGGATCAATTGAAAAGTGTGAAGGATGTATAGAGGTTGACCGATAGGCTGGAGGCCCTAAGAAGGTTTATCTCGAGGTCTTCGGAGAAGCCATAATTTTTTTTTTGCTTTTGAAAAAAAAAAGGATGATTTCGTTTGGACTCCGAAATTCCAGCTAGCATTGAAAGACCTAAAAAGGTACTTGTCTAGCCCACATTTGTTGTAAATATCGAAGGAAGGAGAGCAACTATTAATCTATCTGGCGATTTCGGAAGTAGCGATAAGTGTTGTTCTGGTCCGAGAGGAGGAAGGTACTCAATCTCCTGTTTAATATGTTAGTAATGTTTTATCGGGAGCAGAGACACGTTATCTGCATCTTGAAAAATTGGCCCTCGCTCTTGTAGTCGCCTCTCGAAAGATTAGGCCTTATTTTCAATGTCATCTACAGACGTTGTGACAACCTTTCCCTTGAGAATGTCCTTCATAAGCCTGAATTATCGGGTTGTTTAGCTAAATGAGCAGTTGAAGTTAGTGAATTCGACATCGAATACAAGCCAGGGGCTGCAATCAAGTCACAATTTTTGGCCGACTTTGTGACTGACTCTAGTCCGAGATTAATTCCTTTATCTACTAAAGAAGTAGTGTTTGTATCGGGGACAGTATCATGTGTTTGGACCTTCTTTACGGATGGATCTTCCAATGCAAAAGGGTCCGGTCTCGGGATAGTTTTAATCATTCCTTCGGGAGTAACCCTTAGATATGCCTTCAGAAATATGCCATTAACTAACAATAAAGCCAAGTACAAGACTTTGGTTGTAGGTATTGAATTAGCTCGGGGACTAGGTTATGAGGTTATCGAGATAAAGTGCGACTCCTATCTAGTAGTAAACCATGCGTACAAAATTTTTGATACCAAGGAGGAACCCATGCAAAAATACTTGAGTAAGTCTCAAGTATTACTTTCCCGGTTTAGGGAATTGTCAATTATTCACATTCCAAGAGAAGAAAATGTGGAGGCAGATGTATTGGCCAATTTGGGGTCGTCCACGAAATGAATGGAACTGATTTCGGTGCGGGCGTTCTTGTTGCATTCAGTATGGGACACAACAAGGCTAATTTGGGATTAGAGTAATGAGTTTATAGAGTATTTAAGGAATGGTAAATTTCCTAAAGATCCAAAAGCATCCCGAGCACTAAGGACTAAAGCAACTCGTTATTGTCTTGTTTACGGTCAATTGTATAGGAGATCATTTCAAAGGCCATTGGCTCGGTGTTTAGGGATATCGGAGGCTGACTACGTGATGAAGGAAGTTCGCGAACCACTGCGGTGCAGACTCGTTGGTTCTCAAACTAATAAGGGTTGGCTACTACTGACCCCGGATGGAGCAAGACGCGAAGACATTTGTACAACAATGTGATGAATGCCAACGTCATGCAGCGTTAGTGCATCAACCGACATAACTTTTGCATTCGATGATATCACCATGGCCATTTATGAAACAGGGAATGGACATAGTCGGTCCCTTACCACAAGGTACCGGGCAGGTAAGATTTCTTTTTGGTTTTAATTGATTATTTCACTAAATGGGTCAAAGCAGGTGCTTACAAAAATATCGGGGAAAGAGAAGTGATGGATTTCACATGGGATCACATCATACGTCGGGTTAGAATACTGAAAAAAATCGCTTGTGATAATGGGCTGCAATTTATAGCTTCCAAAGTTACGAAGTTTTTGGAGGGTCTGAAGATCAAATGGATTACATCTTTACCGTATCATCCAAGTGCTAACGGACAAGCAGAGTCTACCAACAAGATAATAATTCAAAACTTCAAAAAGAAGTTAGAAAATGCTAAAGGTAATTGGCTAGATGAGCTATTGGGTATGTTGTGGGTAAATCGAACAACAGCGAAATCGAGCACGGGTGAAACACCATTTTCACTTGTATACGGTGCAAAAGCATTGATCCTGGTGGAGATTGAGGAACTAACCATAAGATATTTGTGACGGCTTGGCCGTTCGTCTTGTGTATTGTAGCCTCGTTCCCCTGTTTATTGCTTATTCTATGTTCACTTGTAGTTACGTGACTTGCCGAGGTGGTTGGGTAGGTTTTTGAGATGTTTCAGAATGAATTGGGATACTTAGTCCCGAGGTCGAAAGCTTAAGTTGAAAGAGTTGACCGGATATTGACTTATGAGTAAACGACTCTAGAATGGAGTTTTGATGGTCCTGATTTTAGACTTAGGATCATGTTCGGATATTGATGTTATGGTAAGCATATTTCTCTTATTCTCACGCAGATAGTGAGAAAACGCGTGGGGGCATCACTCGGCAACAAAGGGGCTGCTCCCCAACCGTCAGAGGTAGAGGCAAAGGCCGAGGGAGAGCCACAACTCCTGTTAGAGCACAATGGCATCTGAGCATTGCCCGTGGTACCACCAGTGGATCTAGTGGAGGATCCTATAATTAAGGTGCAGGATGAGGTACCTGCAGTCAATTCGGCCCTAGTAAAATTTATGACCGCACCGGGCCTTTTGGAGGTTATGGATCGTATGCTGCGGTTGATATATTTTATGACTCAAGCCAGCCTATTTCCAGTAGACCCGACCACATCTCAAGCGGGAGGAGGAGCACAGACCTCTGCTACTCATGCGCCAGGGAATGCTGCTGTTGTTTATCATACCCCAGGTGCAGTACCTGCGGGCGAGGTTCAGTAGGTCACAATGGATAGAGTAGAGAGCAGATAGGCCATGACTTTTGAGGATAAGAAGCGATTGGATAGATTTACTAAACGTCATCCTCCCATTTTTGGAGGTGAGAAGTTAGAGGACCCGCAGGATTTCATTGACCATTGCAAGGAGAAGATGCATAATTTTGGACTAATGGAGTCCAACAGGGTGGACTTCATCATATTTCAGCTAAAGGTAAGGCCCGTAGATGGTGGCAGTCTTATCTCCAGAGCAGGCCAGTAGGTTCACCTCCCTTGACTTGCGATCAATTCACACACCTCTTCTTAGAGAAGCACATTCCACCTTCACAGAGGGAGGAGTTAGGGGGTCAGTTTGAGCGGCTCTAGCAGAGTTAGATGTTAGTAACTGACTACGAGATAAGATTCATTGACTTGTCTTGTCATGCAACTATCATACTCTCCATAGATGCAGATAGGAGGTTTATTGCGGGCTTGCACCATGAGATTCAGGTTTCTATGGCCCGAGAGGCAGAGATGGAGACTCCATACTTCTAGGTTGTGGAGATAGCTCAAAGGATCGAGGGTATCCGCAACCAAAGAAGAGAGTTCAAGTTGAGGGATAAGTGACCTCGACATACTGGTGGATTCAGTGTGCCCCGCCGGGAGCAGAGGTTAGTTCCTGAGGGGCCATGCTAGCAGGCCCATGCATTTAGCACCTCAACCTATTTGAGACGCTCTAGCATGACCCTACTTCAATGCCATTCCAGACAGCACTTAGCGCCCACCAGCTATTCAGGGTTCCTCTATTGGGTATCCAAGTTAGCAGGTTCAGACCAAGAGTTAGTAGTTTTCCACTTCGAGAAGTTGTTTCGAGTACGGGGAGTTTTGTCAAGTGAAGAAGTTTTGTCCCAATGTTCGAGGCTAGGCAGTGCAGCAGGACCATCAGCCCATGATTACTACACCATTTACCATACTACTCATTTATCCGCCCAGAGTCGGAGGGAAGGTGGGTAGGGGTCTCCCTAGAGGTGGAATCCAGTTAGGTGGCGCTCCAGCGAGATTCAATGCCTTCCCAGCCAAAGCAGAGGCAGTAGCCTCTAATTCCATGATCACAAGTATTATTTATGTCTACCATAGATATGCTTTGGTATTATTTGATCCAGGGTCTACCTAATTCTATGTCACTTCTCTTTATTTTCTCTTAATCTGGATGTGCT